TAACAATGAGCACCTACCAAGCTTTCGAATAAATAGGATTTTTTTGCTTCGTCATTCTTTTGTAATTTATTATAGAAAGCAAAGAAGCTTATTTATTAAATCAATGACAAATTATTATAGAACTTAACGTTTACAGAAGTCAGGGGCAGTTGTAAAGTCTGTGCTAGCCGTTTTAAAGCTTCCCCTCTAGGGGTCGACGTAACGGTTGCACGCGCGCGAACTCAGCGGATGCTATTGAAGTGGACGCTATGCCTGTACTTCACTCAGTAAATGCTTCCTGTAACCATGAATGACGAAAGTTTTAGGCTCATTTAGATTTGCTACTCAATATTTAAGTATTTAATTTGGTCTCAGGTTATTTGTTACGTTGATTGCCAGATTAGAACAAAAAGTCGAAATCTAGGAAATAAGGACGAAAACGCAGGAAGAAAGACAGAGATACAGATTATGTGGATGTTCACAAAGAAATCTGAAACATGGTATTATACGAATCTTCCAACAAGTTCCGAGTCCAAGGATTACGCATCCCCTTACTTATTTACCTACTGACGTGCGTGTTTATGTATATTTATGTAATGTACCTACATGTACAGAGTTAATCTCACTAATTTCATTTCTTGTGAGCCTCCTTTTTGACTTGATTATAAATTTAATGTTGGCACTTAGATATTCTCTAGGCTAGGCTGATTACTTGGGATGTTACCCTTTGTAAAATTACACATAAATCGGATAGTACATTTCTTAATTTGGCACACGGTAGACGTGGGCAAGCAGAGCAGACAATTTAAGTCTTAAATTAAGAAGGAGTTTTATTTCAATTTCTTTGTGTAATAATTAAACGCAACATTATTTTTAATACAATTTCTAGATTGTTTCTGAAGGACGTTATGTCTAATTCGAATTATACCAAATTGATTTATGTAACTGTAGGTAGATGAATATAGGTACCCACATAATAGGAACCTATTGATGTTTGATAATAAGAATGCTATTTTCGACAAGATTCCAGAAACATTGATATGCAGTTAGTGTTAAAGTTTAATTTAGAATTGCGTATAGCAGTAAGCAAGTCGCAGGGAAGTCACTTATGGTATTGCTAGCCATCCAAGATAAGCTCGGTTTACAGCGAGCCGGCGAACTTGTCGCGAAATTCCAAACTATTTCCGTGCTATCTGTTCCGTGTCGCGCTGCAGTCGGCGAGCTCGACAGCTCGGGGCGCCCTAACTGCAATAAACAGCTTGTTTAGTTTAGTGACTCTGATCACATAATGAACTACTCAACTTAAACAAATTAACTTTAACTACTTAAAATAAAATAAATTAACTTTATTATCGATATTCTAAGAACTCTAAATAAAATAAATTAACTTCGTTATCGTTATTTTTAAGTGTGGGAGAACTATGCTTCGGCATGAATGGGTCGGCTCGACCAGCGTGAAATAACCACAGCGTTATGTTTCGTCGTGTGAGTGAGGTTACCGAAGGCCCAATCCTTCCTCTCCCCCAAAGGTCGGTAACGCACTCGTAACTCCTATGCTGTTGCGAGTCCATGGCAGCGCTGATTGCTTACCATCAGGTAATCCGTCTGCTCGTTTGCCGATGAATGACATAAAACAAATCGTGATTTTAAAATCACCATCGGTCGGATAAGCCTTCCTCTTATGTACTCTTATATCTACGCCCGGTTTGGGGATTATTTATGTTATAAAGAGTTCTGCTACCGGATTCTCGATAGTTGCAATTTTAGGTCAAACGTTAAACATTATAATACGCTGTGCAACGTTGTTATTAATATTGATTTATGATCATTTACTCGAAGTTGAATCGAGTTGGACTTGCCCATAAAGGATTCTCTAACAGCTACTAAAATAATTTCGCGATTTCAAAAGTTCCAATTTACTAATTAGGCCTCTTTCAAACCAATTTTCGGTAAAGTTTGTACCGTAATGTACATCATTACAAAAGTATAAAATAAATCAACCTACCTAGTTAGTAAGTTTTAATAGTAAGTATTATTTTTATAATTTTGGAAAAAACGACCGTGACAAAAGATCTTACAATCTGTAAGTTTCCTGGGATTGTATTATTTGGGTATTTTTCCCCAATTTGGACCCAAGACGTCTATCGCTCTATGAACGAAAATAAACAATTAAGCGAAAAAGTTGTTTTCACCCGACGTGATGAAAAGTTGAGGCGTTCTGCCTCCGTGTAACCTGGTAGGGGATTCGAGGCAACGACGTTAGCACTCTCCAACATTGTTTAGAATGCTGGTACTTGGGAATGCGACCGCATATCAGAACCGGCCGCCGTGGTTCATGACATGTTTCCATGTCAAATCTCATCTCATATCTCCATTGTTAGTAAATAAATACTTGAGACTAATAATATCATCAATGGAATTAAACACGATATCCCTTAATTAGTTTAAGCACGTGGAAAATGTGGACTGCAAGAACCTGTAAGTTAGTTTAATGGCAAGGAAGCTTCTTTCAATAACAAGATCCTGACTAAACATCACTTTTGAAACAAAAAATTTTGTCTTCGTGTGAAGACAAATTTATACTGAAAATTTATTCGAACAAATGTAGATTTGTTAAAGATTATATTATCATGTTCAGAGACTTTATTTCGTAGGTACCTTTACGAAATTATCATGAAATTATTTTTACGAAATTATCATGAAATTTGATATTACATTTCTAGAGGCCTATGTTGTACTTACCTACTTTACATGCTTTTCTTAGGATCCCTTATTAGATAAAGCATTTCTTATTTTTCTTTCATATTGAATTACTTTTCGGAATCCTGAATAGGTTCGGGAGTAACACGAATACGGGTCGACCAAACTTAAATACCTTAACTTGTCTAGAAGTTAGGTATACCTTAGTAGGTAGGCACAACGCTAATTAATTAGAACCTTCGGAAATACGGACCAGGATCTACATCACATCAGAGGAATAAAAATAAAAAGGATAGCGTTGTACACGTTACCTATCGCTTAAAACTTCTTACATAAGTAAATCACACTTGGTAGATACGAAAAAGGGCTATTTTAATACATACAAATATTTATGTAGGTAGTTTCTTTTAATAAAAGGTGTATTTTGTTTACGATTTAACTAAACACGCAAAATGTGAGAAAAATGTTCGCGAAAACATTCGTTTATTGTATTTAACCTGTAAACGAAGTAGGTACTTATACAATATATCTAATAAGATTAACAATGAGTGGTGACGGTTCTAAATCTTTCACAAAAATAGGTGGGTAATATAAAAGGCGGGGAGACAGATGGCGCCTCGCGGTTACAAGAAAAATAACCCTGCATTTATTTGCTATGACAATGACCTACCTATTTGTCTAAATTCTTCGCTTTGTAGGTACATTTCTCTATTATCTATCTGAGCACAACGGTGATAAAATGTAGACAAAGGATATAAGTCTAAAACAAATCGATGAACGTTATTTATATCAAACACTTTCATTGGTATTGAGTAGGAGTAAATGCCACAGATTTTCCTTCTATTAGGCAATGTTATTTCGCAACGATAACCGAAGACGTGCCAGCCGGCCGGCTTTATCTAAACGACTCGGGGCCTATTTGTGACGTGATTAGCGGTCTATTTGATCGAATTTAAGCGCGGTTCCGGCACTTAGCAAGGTAACTGTAAATAAAGTCCCTGGCCAAATTTAATTTAGGTCAAGAGGTTAAAGGTGAGTTCAGATTAAAATATTACAAGAAATTATTGGTTATTTTTTAGGTACTTATTGCCCATTTTTGCAGGGGGAAATCAGCAAATGGCTTCTCTCGGGTGAGGCGAGAGGAAGTGTCAGACTGCTACTGACTAAAACCTCCGTTCCTTTTTCCGCTTGAGGCCGAGGCCGCGGTACATTATTGAGCTTGCCCCGCTAATTATTTTTTCCACTTTCACCACTCAGACCACTTCATGAGTTTACATGTACTTCCTTACGACATGAAAACTCATGAAGTGGTCTGTTTTAAACTCAAAACCATATGTAAGTATATAAATAATTGGAGCTATTTATTTGAAGCAACTGTAACTACTACCCGACAAAAGAGCTAAGTTAATTCTTCTGTAATGTCTGGCGCTACCATACATAAGTTTATTCAAAAATGTCGTTTGTTCGTCAATGAATGCAAAACGGTTCCACGTGTTGTGATAAGGTACAGTATGAGACCGTTTTCCGGAAGGCCGCCGGCATTTTGACTACAGCGCCCCCTGCCCTTCGACCCCCTTCAGGTAGAAAGTGGTGGAACACCTCACCGCTGCATACTTTTTGCGAAATCAGATTTATTTCTTCCGCTCGTGCGGTAGTTACTGTTCTTTTCCAACAAGAGTAGCTTCGCTGCTAAAAACTTGTTGGAAACATGAAAGGAAAATAATTGGGTGCTCGCTAAAACTACATAATTTTATTGTGAACAACCAGAGCTTCTCCAATCATCGAGGGAAACGGAGGCCTTTGTTTAGCAACGAATGGTATGGTGATGCTTCTTATGATGAATCAGACATAAATACCAGATGTTATAGGAATAAAATTTTTCACAGTTTATTCTTTAATGTTTACTATAGGCTGGTAAAGTGTGCATGAAATTTTAAGTATGTATAATTTCTGATTCATCTATACTAATTTTAGGAAAAGATTTGAAAAGTTTATTTTGTTGTACGCACTAATATAGCAGAGCTGGTTGTATTTAAGAATTACTATAAAAACGTTGTCGGCGCAACGTAAGTTTAAGTAAGCTCTCTTGTACATAATAAGTTACTATAACAACACACACACTGACGCACACGGCTTATTCTGCTATCGTTTGTGGTTACAATTTATTTTCAGTAGTAAACGTTAACATGAATTAAATATTGAGTTTACGATAAACGATGACTTTTCCACTCATTTAAATCGATGAATACCAGTATTCAGTGTCATAAAATAAAATTATTGACTGTAAATATGGACGAACAATTATTGCGAAAGTTTTCAGCATGTCATTTCACAAATGGCGCCGCGCGGCGTGCGGTGCGGGCCGTGCGGGGCGATATTGGACCGGCTGCCGAGTGGTCTCGCTAAAAGCACACTACAAATGCTACAATGCTCTCGTGAGTCGTCTCAGCTTTCCACCATTCATTCACAATAACCGTTCCCTGTGAGGACAAAATGCTGATAGGTACACTGGGAACCATTTGCCACTACAGGAAGTCTTTTTCAAATACTTACAAAAGAACGGGTTCAAGTTTTATTTAGAGTTTACATTTATTTACCTAGTGTAGGTGTAAATGTTTATAAAATTAATTTCTGTTAAATGTAACCTACGTACCTTTGTCGTTATTACATGACACAAGTAGGAATAATTCGTTTCACATACTTTGGGCATTGTGAGCATTAGTATTAGGTACAATTATAAAATACAGTAATTTAACTGGAGAGAAAACATCAAAGAAAAATATGTTCTTTAAATAGGTATACGAGTCGCCTTATAAAAAAACTGCATTAATTAATTTCATTAAATGACGCAATTAAATACATTTACATCGGAATGTGTACATGAGGCGTGCTGCGAGCGTGCAGTGCTAATGGTTTACTACGAACACCCAACTCGTCTCGATTAACACTCCACGGAAACGGTTCTACGATGAAAATGTTTGTTTCTCTCTTCGACCGCGAAATACACATCAATCTCAATAAGTGACATTAACGGACTTGGAACTATATTGGGGGCTAATTCGAAAATAATTGTTCACAAATGGAACGATAAAATGAAATCGTAGTAAAAGAAAAATGCACCGTAGGTAAGGGTCTCTAGGTCTTGCTTAGAAGGCGATAAGACTAAATGGCAGGTTAACATGTAGCTCTACGAATAGATTACACGCGAATGTTGGCTACGTAATTAATTAGATCAATAAATATATAACTGCGCAGTTGTAGCAGGTCATTCTGTACCTCCAATTGTAGGTGTATACAGTTCATTTAATTCATCGATTATAAGTTATAAGATAGTATTTGTTTAAGACTGAATTTTCACAGAGACTGCTAATTACCCAATTCTGCCGTTGCGTTATTTATATTTAAATGCCTGAATATAAATATTGCTATTAATTTTAGATAGAGAACTATGGATTCCATAATGAAAATAAGAAATAATCTAGAAAAAATTAGTCGTAGCAAACGTGGTTGATTAAAACGCCAAGTAATAAATATTCCCAGAATGCATGGACACGAATGTATGGAACTGTGCCGACACCAATCAGCATGAAAGGTACACATATAAGTTCGAAAGAAATTTTGTATTTTTGTGTAATTTTCCGAAGTTATCGTGCTTTACATCTTAATTTTCTCTTTCAAAAACTTCTCTTTAAGCTTAATTTACTAACCTTGCAGATAAGGAATTTCTAGAGATAAATCGTGTAGAGAATGTAATAGAATACAATGAATCTATTGTTCTAATTCTAGAAATGAATAACAGAAACAGAACAGGCTTAAAAGAATAAAAAAATATAAATTGCTCTTTGACCAAAACAGAGAAGAACGGATTACAAAGACTGACAAAAACAACGTAAAACAATAGCTGGCTGGTAAAAACTAAAAACAAAGTATGAAAAATATGAAAGGGAAATGGTGAGTTCTGTCTGTGTGCAGTTTGCAGGGATGGGTACTGGACTAGAGGCGGCGGGCGCTGGTACTGAGCTCGACCCGGCCCGTCGATATGCATCGCTAGGCGAACACAATCCTCCGACATCATTACATCAACAATGCTGTGAATACACAGATGTATATCTAGCTCACTGCCTAATTTGCTCACTGAACATCACACAGCCCTCTGAACTTGCTTGTTTTCACCGCCGAGCCGCTGCAGGTTAACCACGTAAACCCTAAGTCTGGTACATATTGCATTTATATGGCTTGATGTGAGTTTGAAGCACGTATCACAAAACACGATGTGAACTGAATCACCTTGTGGTACAGTGTGTTCAAACTTAGTTGGTTTATAACTAGTTTGTGTTAAGGGGGATGTTTTAAGTAGCCTGCAAAATTTAAAATTTGTCTATAATTATCTATGCTAATGTATAAAGAGGTATTGTTTTTTAAGTTTTTATATAGGGGTTAATCTTAAGAACCGCTAGTCAGACTTTCAAAATTCTTTGCCTGATAGTTAACGGTGTTCCTAAGTGCTATAGGCTATAAATTATACTTGATTGGTGTAGTTTAGTCGAGCGCGTTTGCTTCGTTCGCTTTCGCATTGCTTTAAACGCTGCTGTTTTAAAATACCAGGATACGTTACTTTTATACGCGTGCGAAGCAAAGGCCGGAAGCTAGTCGAATAATATACCTAATAATAAAACTCGTACTTACAATAGCGACATGAAAAATTATCAACATAAAAAAGTCACCAATTTAAAGATGTCAAATATGCAATTTAAGTAAAAACACTACATTCTTGACTTTCTTTGAATAAAAGAGCTTTTTTTTGTGAAGGGAAAATCATCAAATCTTTCTCCCGCGGGCGGGAGGAAGTGTCAGACTCTTACTGACTAAAAACCCCCCTGTTCCTTCTCCTGCCCTGGGCCGAGGTCGCGGTGCCTCATTGCGCTTACCCCGCAACCCCGGCTTGAATAAAAGAGCTACGGTGATGATTTTAAACACAGACACACACACAAACACTTTATAACTGCTAATGTATGTTTTATTGCCAGCTATAAAATTCGATATCCAACAGTAATTTTTTTTTAGGATTACTGACTTGACATCAATCAAGTATCCGATTTTAGTTTTAAAAGTTTAATTTTAATTACTGTAAAGAGATTGGTGTTAAACATCACAACAGTTTATGACATGCAAACATTTTCTACGCTCGTTTCATAATTTGCCAAACTAACTTTTCAGACAGCACCTACCTACATACATCGTGTAGTAAGTACCTAAGTACCGTTCAATTTACAAAACTATATTTACATCTGAAACGTTAACACGCTGAAAAATGTAAGCTTAACTTGTGAATATAAATACCTATTAGAGAAAGTAATAACAATCAATTAAGTAGACAATCATTTAATAATAGCCCTCTATTCTGAACTTCAGTTGTTTTGGAATTTATGTATCCCCTAGATATCTGTCAGTTCAGTGTGCTTTTTAGCAAATGCCTCCTGCTTTTATTTCCACTTAGTTCTACCTCTTGCTTCCTTCTTCAAAAAGGGCCTGCTGCTGTTAGTTTCAGCTCGTCTTCCCATCTCTTGGGTTGTCTTCCCCTTTTCCTTTTTCCATCCGTGTGGTACTTACTAGTCTGTTACAACTTCACTCCCCCTTGCTTGAGTTTTTCATTATTTCTTTTTTTTTTGGCAGTTGGTATATCTTTGCGAATACCTCAATCGCCTGGGTCTTGGCTCATACTAAGTTGTTTTGTTTCTTTTCTGGTATTTTAATACCTATGAGGCTTTTCTCAATCGCTCTTTGGTATCATAACTAAGTCAATTAAATCTAAATACAGAACAAAACTTTAACAGTCAAGACTAATTAATCATTTTTCACACGACTTTAATGCGACTAATACAATAGTTTCTCTATCTCTAACAATATAACATTATGTAGTAAGCTTAGGCCTATTAAGATGCAAGCCTTGATATAAGCTCTAATTGCATCGGCTGTTAAGTTTAATTTGTAAGCAGAATGAAGCTACAGGATCTCTCAACTCAATTACAGCCTACCTTAGGCCATTATCATCGTAACTATTGTACATATGTGGTCAACAGCGAAGCGTTTAATATAGAATATATTACCTTTTATATTGATTGAGAAAATATGAAGCCTTTACTGCTGACAAATACTGCTGAAGGCTACTCGTAATCATCTGCCAACGACGGACACCACAGACCGACACGGCTCTGAAGTCTGAATGTGTTAATATATCATATTTTTGTTCGTTTCAGAGAGTTTAAGTTTTATGATAATAATATTTAAGATCACCATCCCGTAATAATCCAGTGCTGGCTTCCACTACATAAGAGGGTCCGCCTGCCAAACAAAGAGATTATTGGAAACCGTCATATCTCTACACTTAGCAAGCGGGATTGAGATTGCAGTTTAAAAGTTCAGATTTAGGAAAGAGCGCTGTTGCAAAGCCTTTCTTAAATATCCAGTCCCTATGCGGCCCTTGGGACCCGCGGATAGAGAAGGATTAATGACAAATCGATGTTTAAAAATGATTAATGCACTGTACGGTAACCGTTTCCTATATTTCTTGGACTACGCTGTCCATCTATAATCTTTCCATTTGTTTGTTTGCCATCACGTAGTGACTAATAAGTACTCTAAGTACAAGGTTATAATAAAATTTTAACTTAAATTTTTTAACTTCTGCTTCACACTTTTCATATGTTTCACAGTATACTTGTTTTGTTTATACTTACCTGTATTACTATGTTTGATATCGACAACGAAATCCAGATGGAATAAAAATATTGACCAAAGCATAGACACAAGAGAAAATCAAATAAAAAAATCATATCAGAATGGATTTCCGATTGCACACATTGTAAACTTTTATGCTCGTATGTACCTACTATAGAAAAAGCCCTGTGTGCTGTGTGTAGCGGCCAGCGTTTTATAACATAGTTATTTTTTGCATGTACCTATATATCTATATTATAACATTAAAAAGTTGTTGTTTTTTTGTTTGAACGCAGTAATCTAAAATTACTGGTTTGTGTTGAATAATTATTGTGTTGGATAAGTCCATTAATCGAAGAAGGTTACAGTCACCTTAACATCACGCTATGATGTGTCTGTAGAGGCCGAACAGCAGGCGAAACCGTGCGAGAGTAGCTTGTACAAAACTATAAATCTTAATTATTATATCATCGTTTCTGTCCCGCTTATAACTTTGATAGAAACTGACCCCGTGACAACTAGGCGTCAATGGACTCAATAATCGCAGAGTATGATCACTGCCAGACTAGACCACAGGAAATGAAGATGGAACTACATCAATAATTGTATTTTATTACATTCTCATTAACGGAAATCCTAATAATCTCTATTTATTCCCAGTTTCTAGGTAAATGTAAGGAATATTTTACGATGCGCTTTTCCTTCATCAAAGCGAGCTTAAACTAATGGAGAACGCATTAATTATTTCCTATAATAAAAATTATTTCGTCGGTAATGGAAATGTTGAATGACGAAACCGTGCTGTTAAATTACGAACTTTAATAATTCAGAATTATACAGCTTTGTACTGTTGTGTATAGTGGGGTGAGTGGGAATGACCGTTATTGATGTTACTATGAAAGGTAATACCATGAAAGGAGACCAACAGAACAATACCTAAGTACTATAGGTATCTAATCGGTAGTAGATATCTAGTGGACATGTGCAACTACTGAGAATAATTCATTACCTACACAATGTAGGTATTACATTTGATGTCTGGACGGATGGGTAAGTTTTCATATAAGTTTTAAAAATATTCGATACGAGACAGAAAATATTACTAAAATACCACAACTAATGAGGTTGAACGTTTATGTAAATATAAATACTCGTACTTATCTATGATTGGTTAGGTACCTGTTGGCAATTTCAGCAAAAAAAAGAAAATCAAATTCCAAGGGTTTTTTTATAGATACAAAATATATGTACTTAGGTTTACACCTATTGTTATATGGTTTCAGGTGGTGTTTTGTGTTTGTAACCAGTCTTATTGTTCAATTTTGACTAAAAAACGTTGTTAAAATACTGGTGAAATGGGCGAAAAATAATTTCAAGAAGCCATCAGTTCATCTTTTTATTATCCTTTTATATAGGTACTTTTTAGGCTCTAGTTGTAGATCCAGCAGCTTGACACATTACAGTTATTATTACACATTACAATTAGTTAACATTTTTAGTGTATTTTTATTACAAACAAGTGAATATGGCTCATCTGATGGTAAGCTATCACAGCCGTCCATGAATATTAGATACTCGTTACGGGAAAGGGTAGAAGGGAGGAGTTATAACCAGATAGGGTACATCCAATTTAATTGAAAACATCAGAAAATTAATTTGCTTTCAGATATCAGCTTATAGAACAACCAATTTCCTCAATTGCTTTCCACTTGACAGGTACCTACGTTCCGATGCACAGCATGGCCGGTTATTCGTCCATTTTCACAGGGTTATACGGAACAATCAAATTTATATAAAGCTTCCCTGAATTTTTGATAGATTGCACAACGAAATTGATATTTTTTTCCCAGAATATACTGAGTGAATTCCATTTCAATTTTGTGAGAAGTTATTCGTGAACGTGATCGAAGTACTTACATACGGGCCTTGTTATGCTTCGGAAGCATATTCTGTTCTGAATATTATGTTTCCTAGAATTAATTAAAGCACGTTGTTGGGTACCTACTTATTAAATTTTATTAAAGCATTTTTACATTGATATATATCTCTATATGCATATATATAGAGATATATCAATGATCATACACATCATCAGCACGCACGGGGCTCATTGGGTTGATGTTCAGAGAGATTGCGGGGCAAGCGTAATCAAATCAAGCACCGCGGCCTCGGTATAGAGCGGGGGGTTTTTAGTCAGTAAGAGTCTGACACTCCCTCTTGCCTTACCCTGGGCGGGCTAAGTCATTTGTTGCTTTTTCCCTCACGAGTAAAAAAAAAGCACATTAGTATAAGTACCCACTTAACGTTTCAATCGTGGTAATTTGAGACATAACATAGAATAACAACGAAACGAACGGATAACACAGAATAAAAGAATAACAACAATAGGTAGGTGCATGAACGTCGGCGTTTGCTTGGGGTTTGATGAGTAACCACCACTAACTTTCTTTTAATTTTAAATGATACTTGATAAAATACTGTTAGTCTGCTACATATTTATTTGTCAACCTCCTATCTTTAGAGGGTTAGTATTATTCAAAGTAGTGGCTCTGAATAAAATAGTGTAACGTCCGGTATGCTAATGATTCCAACTCTCATCAACCGGCACATCGGAAAAACGCTTCGTTTTCGCATAATGTCATTCAAAGGAGTCATCAGTGCGAGCCCAGCCCTGTCCACGAGCCTCGTCGAAAACAACAAAAAAGTTTGGTAGTATTTTTCATTTTCAGTTCGGTTCGGAGCGGATTTAACGCTGGTTTTCCGTGAGGCCGTGGAATCACTCCGGTCTAGCCGACTCACATGAAATTATCTTAAGGGTTTTTACAAAATGAAAAACGGCTAGAGTTTAGAGCTTATTAAAATTGTACAAAGCGCTTAACATGATACATATACTTTTTGTAATCCATACAACGAATAGTAAGTATATTATCTATTGCAATCTGGACATTAATGCAACTTTCAAGTAAGTTTTCAAATAAAAAAAAATATTATCTACCTGAAGAATATGTTTGTCGAAACCGTTTAGTCTTTTAACTACTGGAACGAATAGAAAAAAATATGTTTGTCTGAGACAGGTAGCCCATTTTTAGAAAGGCTATAGTAAAGACAGACAAGACGATATGTCGAATAAAACCGGAAGTAGTTAGCTGGGGCCAACGTTTAGTAACTAAAAATATTCAGATTTTTGTAATTATATGCTTAGGTACTTATATTAACCTACACCTACGCCATTTTCCCTCGTCACAAACTGAATCATTCAATTTGCATAAATATGTAGCTATATTGCTACCTTACCTATTTATAATGCATACCTTACCTAATAAGCAATAATGCCATATCCATGTCAGAATTTTCAAATATATCTAACTAGAATCAGTTTTAATACATTTGCCTAGGTACATAACGTATATCCTGTTCATCGGGTACAACTTAGAACTACCAACAGACGAACTGGATATATTCCTGATGCGGTAGTAATATAAGCATGTATAAAATGCGAAAGGGCTCATACCGACATAACTGAAAGATCGGCGCGCCGACATATCAACTGTAATAATATAAATATATTGACGACACAAAGTTCTCGGCGCGTGAGTCAAAAGCACGCAAATAAAACGGACAACACATCATCCCAGCCACACAGAACGTTCCTGTGTTATCATAAAGTCTGTTTATTTAATTCCACCACAAAGTAAATTATACTTCCAGTGTACGTTTAATTTATTATTTCAAATAGACAAAGGCTGTCTCTGCCTTATTCGTCGCTCTTTGTTGACGTCCAAATCTCCTATTGTTATAAGTCGTCTTATCAATTTCTTCGTCCACCTCGGTATTATACTTAGGTACTTGCTGTGAAACAGGTTTTGATTTTGAAGGACGACTTTTCATTGTTTTGCTTACAGGCATCTATCTATTCTTAATAATAGTTGGATAAAATACCTGCTATGGTACTTACTTAAGTACATACTATAAAATCATTAGGACATGTATTTTGTGTTGTCGTGATATGCCACAAATGTAAGATTAGGATACATGATCGGCGCCACGATATTAAAAAGTTATCAATTCCAATGTAAGTTCGGTAACAAGAAAGTAAGAAGTTTGTTTATCCTTAAATTGAATCAAACAACTTTGCGGATAAATAAAACAGAGTTCAATCAACAGGTTGGTTTAGTTACCAGTCAAACTAAAAGCTTTTCTTCTTGTTGATATTATAGACTAATAAGCATTGCAATATTTTACGGCTATATGAAACTTTTGGGAAAAGTTTGCAAAGTTTAGCAACACACTCAGAAGTGTATTTTGAAAATTTCTTAATATCATAAACAAAAGTACTTTTAATATTGTGTTTAAAACACCGAAAGCGATAAATGTTACCTTTAGTGACAGCTTAAGTTGTGTTGTTTATCAGTCGAAAGGGAGATGATCAGCACGTGCGGCGGGTGTCGAGCGCGACGGGGGCGAGGGGCGGGCGGGTCGTGCGTCGCGGCGCGGCTTCGCGGCGGCACTACCGCGCCCGCCGCCGCCGCCGCCCGCCCAAGCTGCTGCCCGCCCGATGGTCCACCCGCCCCACGCGCCGACGAATTCCTTGCTGTGATTAATCGTCGAGCCACCTGCGGAGCCTTTTGTATATCGTTAATGTGTTCGGCTCGGTCTCCATAAACAATTTCGAATAACAATGAGGTGTATAGGACATTTTCCATCAAATTCACATTAACTCTCTATAGGCTTATTCATCCACACGATAGCATATTTATTATTTGAAAAACTCGTTAAAAACTACAATTAGGCAAAAATAAGCGAAGTACGATATCGCTACCTTGTACCCATTTAAATAAATACTTACTTATAAGTATAAGCAGTTAGGTACTGAATTAGGTGCTTAGGCACCTACTTTGGTATTATTTATATTTTTGTCATCATCATAAAAATAAATAAATGAATAAACAAATAAAAGACAGTTGTAGTAGGTAGGTTGAGTACCTAATGTCTGTAGAAGCAGACGACGAAACTCAATGGGGATTTTACTCGTACCTACAATTACTTAATCTGTGCGGTGAAGAAGAGAAAGCAATGAATGAACCCAGAATAAGACAATGAAAGCTTCCTGATCCCGGCCGTGGCTGAGGCGACCAAGGCTACCGTCTGGGCAGGGAGCGAGCGGCCTGCCGCATGCCGGCGCAGGGGCGACCTAATTTATTTTACTAAACGATATACTATGACGAATGATGCTTCCCGAGCAAAGTGTTATTAATGTTGCTTTCATACAGTTATATTCATAGATAGGTCGTATAAATTGAAATTCATATCATGTTATTTGCCAGGACTTCGAATTTGGTACACAAAGCGTCGAATATGGTTGAATACAAACAGCCTAATTTAGGCATCACGTCGTTTTGGTGCAGTGCACTGTATGATATGAAATCATGTTCGGCAAACAATCCCGCTTATGAGCTATTCAACTGATAACGATACATTTACGACCGCGCGGGGAAATTGAATTTCTAAACGATTTTTTGGATGTGTCAATGTTATTGAAACATGTATGATAAATCGTGGGTAGAAAAACTGGCAGACGCCACATTTTTAGGGCTGATGAAATGTTATGAGGAATTGAATTTAAAACCCTCATACGCTTCGGGGTGAACAAGGACAGACGAAGATTAGGTTTATGTCAGATTGAAACTTTACTCCAAAAAACTACTAAAGTGACCTTCTGAATGTAATAGCAATCTCACTTCGAATTTAATAAAAAAAATAAGATCACACAACCTGCACTGCAACCCTTTGCGGGATCGAATCAGAAATTAGGAGATCCGTTAAAGTGCAAAAGCTACAGTGATCTTGAATGTCACTGGGCACTGGCTGAAATAATTATTAACATATGATGTGTCGGAATTTCGAAAATGTTTTATTTTTATGAACCTACTGCTTATTGTATGTAGGCTTAAATTATTTTCTTTTCGTTCCATACCCAATTCAAATTCGTTGTAAGTGAATCAATTTGTAGCCAACCAAAATAAATAAATGAGATTTTTGTACAAAAAGATATAAAAAATCAAATAAAATAATGTAAGTAGGTTTAAGTATTGTGTTTAGTATCTAGGTGGTGGTACATAGTTTGGCTTTATGTGCCGAAGGTATGAGTTCATATGTAAATCATCTATGTATGTAAATACGTGTGGCTGTAGACATAGCAATCTATACTTACCTACTTATCTCACAATAAGGGTTGAAATAGCAAGCACGCGCCAGTTTCTATGGATACCACCTATTGATTACTCATGTGCCTAATGTGTAAGTAATTCATGTGATTTTGGGCACATCAAAGAAACGACAGCGACAAGAAATACATATACCAGGCAAGTATGGGGAGCGTTGTATGCATAGGTACAGATATCTATACTAATACTAGCGGCCCGCCCCTGCTTCGCATGGGTCCAACTTACTTGCTATCAAAGGGTCACTTTTTCCTAATCTTCCCCTCTACTTTTCTAATATTTTCTTTGATAAGAACCTTCTCCTGACAATAACAAATACAACCAAAAAAAGAATTAGCTAAATTGGTCCAGGCGTTGTGGAGTTATGCGCTTACCAACACATTTTGCGATCCATTTTTATATATAAGATTAGAGATTAAGTTTGTATGTAGGGGTAATCTTTGGAACCGCTGGCCGGATTGCCAAAATTATTTCACTGACAGATAGCTACAATGTTCCCGAGTGCCATAGGCTATAAAACATCACGCTACGATCAAATGGAGCCGAGCAGCGGGTGAAACCGCGCGAGAATAGCTAGTAATAAATATAATAATACCTAATTGTACCTGTAATTTCAGTCTGATTAATTTACTATTATTTATTATAAGATACCTACTTTTTGGGCAAGTTCGAATTAGTTTTTTCGGAATGTTTATAAAAACGGAAAAGGACAAGGACAAATAAAAGTAAAATATTTGTGTTAATTTTTATTAGCTACTATTAGAAGCCACAACTGCTTATCTCTTTCGCATGTTAAAACTAAATATTTACAATTGGGTCAAAAAAGCGGATTAACTCAAAGAAATCTGCCATAATTTCAGACAATCTGTTCATTAGGGTATTGATGAAATCACATAAACTGAATATTTTCCTGCTCGAAGTAATTTCATTCGATTACCTGCTCGGCGTAACAATTTGTCGATTAGCGTCAGGATTAGCATTTTATTTGGAACGACTGGTGGGACCAATATAAGAAGCTACACATTGCTTCTTTATTTTTGAATTTCATATAAATCATTCTAGTCAAAGGCAATTTTCACAATAAGAAAAACATAAAAAATACTATATATTTAAAAAGGATGTCAAAAGTCGAAACTTAGTCTTATTCAATACAAAATCTTAAATACTAAATTACAATAATATTACTTTTCTACATAATTATCAACTTTAATATTTGAAATAAATAATAATTTTCTTTTACACACTATAATATTAGTAATGGCACTAGTTATTATTCATGTTATAACAAGGCACGACGGGGAGTAAGGGAAGCTTTAGTAAAGTCGCGTCGTTGTTGTACAACGCGACATACGACGTCTATTGAAGATTGACGGAGATTACCTCAACAAATCTGTACATAGCGTACTTTATATTTTAGAGGATTATCGTATTAGTACACTGCGTACATCTGAGAGTATTTGGCGTATCGTCGTAATACATTATTGTAATGGACGAAATGATAAATCCGATATACCTGAGATCACATGGGATAAGATTCTTTGACGTTACGCCGAAATTTTCCAAAGTACGAACAATAGTACAATCAAAAGGCACTCTATTATAGTAATCGTCCGCCTTGTATTATAGTAATGGCAGTGTCTAAACTGATACATTTTGATCAAACAAAAATAGAGTTTACAAATTGATTTACTAAATATAGAGACTCATTAGTAATTATTATACAGGGTCATAAATATATACGTATCTTGCTCTTATATTAATCGTATTAGAAATACACTTAAATAGTAACAACGGGATGCAAATTGACTAAATGGAGGACTGATTGTTTAAAATTGATTTATCAAAATGAGATTTAAAAGTCAAAGTCAATCCATAATTAGATAATAATAGTCAGTATTGTAAATTAGGATTACTTTCGTCAATAATATTATAAACATTATAAAGCTCTAAACTACAACCTACCGAACGCACCGTGGTCTTAACATACGTATATAAAATACTGGGTAAATATATATAATGTATATTTGTAGCACCCCGCGATACGTTCGGTTTGACGAAGCTACACACGAACACATAAGTACATACGACATTCATTCACACATAAGTACAAAAAGCGTACAATACACATCCTGAGATTAAACAGACCTTCTGATAAAATGTAGTATAAAATAAATGTAAGACTTAAATACAGACTGTGTGCATTTGTATTTATAAACATTTCTACAATAATGTAGATTTTGTTTAACTTGTAAAAATGTAGAAACTAAATGAAATAAAAAGCTACATATACCAAACGTTTCAGGCACTAACTTGTGCAATGACAATAAATTACAGAAAGGCACATTTTTAAGGCAACTCTCCAAAACATTTCTCAATTTAACATGATTATAATGATCTATTTTAATAAAAATTCTATAAACACCAAATTTCATTAAATACTGACATCTTGATAACTTTATAAATGCGGCATTCGATTGTTGTACGTATTGAAACGACTATTTTATTTGCTGACTATTTATGTGTAATGTAATACAATTATTTTCCAGCATATGTAGGATTTTTGAAGGTCGATGTCGCTTGCTTGTAGATAGGGTTCTCGCCCTGCGGAGAGAAAACACAAATCAGATTAAAAGAAGGTAACATCATAGCTTTTAATTCCCTGACATACATATTACTCCAAGATTTGACTGCACGGGCGTTGTATGTGATTTAATGCTGACGAAGGAGTTCTTCACGAAATAAACCGTCCTTTAGAGCGTACATAATAACCATGAAACTATTTTTATTGTGTTCCAATAATTTTCTTCTTTAAACGCATCCACGATAGAAGTCATTATTATGATACTAGTATTATATCACATCTAGGGTTAAGAACAGATATAAAATAAACATACCGTGTCCCATTTGGCCATCATACGTTCTTTCTCGAAGCGCGCAAACTCTCTGCGGTCGTGTATAGTAGTCGCCATCTTCCATAACATCAGTAAAGCCAAACCAACCAACACTATCGCAGCGATCACTCCCAACACAATTCCCAAGATTGGTACCTACAAATTAATATAATCATTGTTATAAGTTTATGTCTTCGGAAAATAATCACTTGTTTTAAAATAGCTAACTGATTTATGAAGTAAAAAATTGCTATAAATTATGTTTTATTTTACCTAAAGTTTATTAGGTAAACTTGTAACAAAGTAATTAAATCAGTGATGCTTTTGATTTCTTTTAAACAAAGATTCTGGTATACTGAAAATATTTACTAAACTACATAACGACGATAAGTAAATATACTAATTGTTATGTTTATTACCGTCAATATTATATTTATAAGTCATTATTTCAATGTGACTAATATCCTGTGATAAATGAAATCCGTTTGTATTTGCGTTTCAAAAATCTCTAATATTTTTACTTTAACTAGCTAGCAAATTCAATTTGGAATCAAGTAGGTACAGTATTCTAAAAAATCTTAGGAGATCCTTAAATATTATAAAAAGAAGTCCTTCTGCCTATTTTTATGTGGTTTTACACCATACCTAAACATAGATACAGTAATTCTTGAAGACGAGTTAGTTATAATTTATTACGCATTTAACGACTGAGAATAATAACTGGCAACAAATAGTTTACGAACCTTCTTGGGACATTCCCGTTCCTTCTGCGCTCTAATGACAAGCTGCTGGTTCTCATTGTAGGAGTACACATACACATATAAACAATCTTCATCGTCGTAGAAACTACACAAATGTTCGTTTCGAGATTCGTTCGCTGCAATAAAATAAAAACATTTTATTTTAATACATCCATACATTTCAATAAAGTTTGTCCTCAGGCCCTTATTTGAATCTTTTTGATTTGTAATATGTATGATGTTAATGCTCTTAGTTAGCTGTTAGAGTATGCTGTAGTTGAACTTTGAATTTAGAATTTCACATAGACGAACGGATATAATATATCCGCTAAGTGGCTGACAGTCGTTGGATGCGAAATGCTGAAGATAGAACTTGGTTGCATGTTATTACTAATTGTTGATAAAGTTTTGTGAGGCTTACCTTCAATTTTGCCTTCTTCGATTATAGGATAGAGCGCACAATCTCCACAGGTGTCTGTGTCGGCATTGTACAGCGGGCCACGTTTGTGTACCTCGCATAATACACAGTCTTTGAATTCACCACAGCGGCCTGGGCAGGTCTACAAGAAAATATAATGCTTGAATTAGGTCATGTTCAATATTAGTGTTATTCCATTTTATTTTGGTACAACTATTATATTTAGTAGGTATAAGACCAATAACTGTATATTGTACTTACGGGACATTTTTCACAGTATTTTCCGGAATAATGACGGTCGTCATCTACATTACACACGCATTGACCGCAGACACATTTTCCGTTACCGCTACATATTTCGTTGTTTTCTGTAACAAACATAACGTATTAAAGAAATAACGAAAGTGCCTACAATTTGGGTATACATAGGTACAATATTTTAATACCTTTTATCGGTTCACCGTTTGGTGGAGGAGAAGTGAGTGAATACAAATGTTACCACCTCTTTTTTTGTGAAGTGAAAGTCATTAAATGACTTCTCCCGCCCGGGTGGAGGCAAGAGGGAGTGTCAGACTCTTACAGACTCAAAACCCCCCGGGTCCTTCTCCTACTGTAGACCGAGGCCGCGGTGCCTTATTGCGCTTACCTTCGCAAGAGTCGACCAAGAGACCACATATTTAACAGATAACACTGCTGCCTAGTAGTTCTTTTTGATAAACTTGGTCTTATCCTCTTTTATAGCCCAGGCTATAGGCAGATAGGGCTGATGTTCAGCCGGAGTTGCGGATTAAGCGCAATGAGTCACCGCGGCCTCGGCCCAGAGCAGGAGATGGAACGGGGGAGTCAGTAAGAGTCTGAGACTCTCTCTCATCTCACCCTGAGCGGGAGAGGTCATATATGATTTTCCCCTGACAAAAAAAGCCATAGGCGGGAGTAATAATAATATGGAGTAGTTAGTTTTGAAGAGGCCATTTGTTAATGTTCATATGTTACTTACCAGGTGATCGACAAGGAGTTTGGTCCTTCAAACACTGGCAAGCTGGTCCGGTGTACTCGGGAGTACAGCTACATTTGCCACAGACACATTCCCCGTGGTCGGGGCCCGAGCAGAGCAAACCCTTGTTCATGTCACACGTGAAGTTATCGCACTCGCAGAACGGGCCAGAAATCACCTGGAAAAAAGGTTTAAGTGTAAGTCCAACTGTTACTTTTCTGCTATTGCCTTATATATAGTCTTTTCATTTCATATGAATGTAGCTAATTTTAATGGCGATTGTTTTCTGGAAAAGTGTACCTTTAATTTATAAATTTATGTAATAAACAGAGGGATGAACTTGTTGTTGTGCACTTGAGGGTTTTGCAGTAGGTGGAAATGTAGGGTAGGGTAGTACCTTGAGCGGGTCGTCCATCTTGTTGCACTCGCAGACGCCGCAGATGCAGGTGCCGCGGTTGGAGCAGAGCGGGCCGGCGCTGGCGTTGGTGGGGCGGCAGCCGCGCTCCTGCTCGGCGGAGACGCCGCCGTGCGCCGAGCACTCGCAGTTCTTGCCGAAGCGGCCCGGCCGGCACACGCACACCCCGCACGCAGACACGCCCTCGCCGCTGCATACTAGCGGACTGTCGTTGTACGCCTACCACAACAGATACATCGTTATAGACCGAACAAACTTATCATACACTAGCTACTCTCGCGCGGTTTCACCCTCTGCTCGGCTCCATTTTATCGTAGCGTGTAATTTTGGCAATCCGACCAGCGATTCCAAAGATTACCTTACAAATTTTACCTCTTTATAATATTAGTATAGATTTTCAGATTCACGATATAATAAGCTCAATCAAGTTACTCACGTGATGATTGGGCTGTTCACAGGGACAATCGCAGACCATTTCCAGTTCAACAGTGAGGCTGTCAGAGATACCGACGGGGGAAATCTCGAAAGTCTGCTTCCACTTGCTGCGGTCTTTGGGACATTCTTTCAATGTAATCTCAGCCGTGAATTCCACGACATCGCCAACCTAAACAAATAATAAAAAATAACTCTTACACACATCACACTCATATAATAAATTTAAGTGATTTTCATTCCTTTTTTGATATTTATAACTGTTATTAACTCATTATATGTTACACTTCAACATATTACCTGGAGTACTTATTTACGAGGTTTCCTTTGTCAAAAAGGTCAGCAATCATACCTGCTTAAAAAAAGAAGACATTGTAACAAGAAAATTACCTTTAATCCGTCGCATTTGTTCGTCTGTGCGAGTTCTTTGCCGCTGAGACAAGATGAGTAATACACTATTTGCACAGCGTCACTCGATGAGTCTTTCATTTCTACAGTTGACGTAATTTTCTGTTTAACAAAAACAAACGTTATAGTTTATCGCTGTAAAACAAAAAGTGTTTGCAACTTTATGCAAAACATTGAGATTACAGCAAGCGAAGTGTTAATCAAAGTCAATTAATGCAGAATGAGTTTAAAAATACATAAGATACATCTGCCTGTAAATGTGAATCTAAATTAAATGTATCGAATGTTGCCCACATTTTGGCTCGAACAATAAAATTGGTAACAACAGGAAAACTAATGACATTCGGTCGATTCTAGTAAGGACTCCGTTCTAACCTTAACCTACTTGGAAATAGGCCAGAAAAACATTACAAATTACAAATCTTAAGTTATTTAAGCTTCGGTATGTTGGGTTGTTCCCCGAGATAATAGTTGGTGGAATGACAACTAACGTTGTATTGTTCCCGGACGAGGTCGACGATGTTATCGGAATCGTTGCTCAGCACTCCCGTACTGGAACCTTCGATGTGCTTGCTCAGTTGTTCGTACACGCTGATCTGTTCCGCCGTTACCGCAAAGATTACGTTGATAGCGTGCTTCTTCACCTATGTGAAGAAAAAATATAAAAATAATGAGAGATCGGGCGAGTCAATTTCGGCACGAATGGGTCGGCTCGACCACAGCGATGTGTTTCGCTGTGTGAGTGAGGTTACCGGAGGCCCAATCCTTAAATATCCGAAACCTTTATCCCTAAAAGGCCAGCAACGCACTCGTCACTTCTTTGGTGTTGCGGGTGTCCATGGATGGCGTTAATTGCTTACCATCAGGTAACCCGTAAGCTCGTTTGCCGACCTATACCATACAAAAAAAATTATTATTAAAAAAACAAAATACCCGACTGCACACTAAAAAAAGAGTAAAACAAGCCCCACAATACAAATTTACTGAATATAATTTATAAATGTTGATGGAAAGCATCGCAGGCGGGGACCAACAGAGGCTTATTTATAGTTATTTCTGTTGTGCACCATTTAGCAGAATTTTCGTTGGTGGCGGTCAAGGTGGTCCCCGCCTGCGATGCTTTCCATCAACATTTATAAATTATATTCAGTAAATTTGTATTGTGGGGCTTGTTTTACTCTTTTTTTAGTGTGCAGTCGGGTATTTTGTTTTTTTAATAATAATTTTTTTATTTATAACTTTTTAGCTGTTTTTTTAAAGGGAAATTTAGAAAAAATATTATTATTTCTTTATCCCGTGGGACTTTTAGGATAAAATGTATCCTATGACACTCCCGTAATCAAGACAAATCTAACGATACCTCATACATCAAAATCCATCAAGCCGTTTAGGCTACAGGAGGTCACAAAGGAAAAGACATACATACATACTTACATACACTCGAAAAACATTACCCTCCTTCTTTGGCAGTCGGGTAAAAAATGAGATTTGATTTCAATATCATTCCATATTACACCGAATAGTGTCTAAATACTAACCTTATGATTAATCTGTGAAATGCTGGGGTAATCCTGCAACGTCGAGTGTGTGTACGTGTTGTCCTTCATGTGACATTCGCCATCGTTAGGTTGGACGATACCACCGAGCTGAAAATGGCATGTGATTAAATACAAAAAATGCTCAACATGCGTGATACGCTGCAGTAGCAATCAGTTGCAATATATATCCGAATTTAGACATATTACATTTCACGATTATTTTGACGTAATACACTACGTGTTACGCAGCAGGATTAGGTTGATCATTACTTTTGTAAATTTGAAATGCACTAGTTTACAAGTTACAAAAAACACAACAAACCTTTCCGTCGCCAGCATAATGGAAACCAGCGTCTGTGGAGAAAACAAGCAGTCTCCTAGCCTGGTCTCTCCAGCCGATCTGTTGCTTGCACACCACGGCTTGCATGATCGCGTCGAACCCTCCTTCGGGGGCGTCCAAGTTGCCCGACACGTCTGCGTTAGCTACTGCTTTCTATTCCACAAAGGCAATACGATATTTTTAAATCGGTACATGATCCTAAAGATACAAGATGCGAAAATATCGTAAACAATAATTGTTGACTTACCTCAAAGAAGTCGGTGTCAGTACTCAGAGACATTTGATTTTGGTATCCATAAGGCGCTGCGCAACCGTCACAAGGTGATATCAAACTGGAAAAAGTAAATTTTAATTAAATGGTACATCTCAAACAACCGCTACAATGAATAAGGGATTATTAATAAAAATCATTTTAAAATATTTAGCTACTTACTTCTTAGGCACTGTAGATACATAAGGCATGACTAGTTTATCTACAAAGGAGCCGAATCCGATCCTGAACATGGACGTCATATTCCTCATGGTAGCAGACAGTAAACTTCCCAGTGTACTGAGTTTCTCTTTATCGTTTTTCATAGATCTACTCAAGTCCATAAGGTAATACAAGTCAACAGGATAATCTTGAGCTCTGGAGTACGCAAATGTAAGTTTCTGCATTTGATCTAAAATTAAAATGACTCTGTGTAAATAACTAAAATGACACTCATCAGGAAATTGTGTCATAGATAAATTGAATTGATTAGTCCTGAATGATGACATTGAACGTTAACTGTTTATCATAACTAGTTGAGTTATATCACTAAATGTATACAAGTTCCGTCACATCTATTTCATACTAAAATGTAAACATTATACTCACTCATTCTGAGGTTGAGATTCACTTTCTGAGGTTTCATCTGCACCAATCTTTCGCCACCTGCTTCAGCGCCTGCGCCTGCTGCCGATCCCGACGCAGCAAAGCTACTGCCCTGTGCACTGTAAGACTCTTCATAAGAAGATGAACCAGCAGACATGCCCATTCTAGACTTAGCTGAAAATTAGTATTTTAAAATTAGTTAATTTATTTATTATTATAAAAAAATCGACTCAATAGGTAATTCGGATTAAGTTATATGATGGTTACCTCTGCTTAACTCCATATTGTACATGGGGTCGACAGAGCGTTTATTATCTGGGTTGAATATGTAGGATTCTTCACATCCTGCAGTGCCATCTCGCTCCATGGCAGGGTTGAAGCACCGAGGGCCATTGAACTCTGCTGCAAAACACCAAGCGCAGCTGGCCGTGCGGATGCAGTCACTGCACGTCGTCTTGCTGGAGCAAGGATTCTGTGCCAGAAGTTGCTCTGCGCGTTGGGCCCCACATAGAGCCAACAGGCTCACCCACACACACAGTCGTAACACAGTCGATCGATGTATATCCATTTTGTAATTAATTAAGATTCGTTATCAGATCAAGTTCTGTAACAAGAAAACATTTATTGTAAGTAAATTGGGTAACATTATTGTTGCTGATACAAATATTATACTTTCTAGTTAGTATCACTAGCTAGTGCCATATATTTGCCTAGTCATAAAACAAATAGTGTTGTATAGAGACACTGGATATTTAAAAAATTGCCGGAACTACATATTAGCTAGAAACAAGAATGTTTATAACAAGCATTTTAGCGTGCTCATGTGTAACTTTCCACTTGCATGACCTAGTATTTAAGGTCAGAACAACATGAAATCTTATTTTACTCTCGAATGTAATACAATCGTTTGTGTAATTTAGTGCAATAACGGTGTTACATAAACTCGCGAAGAATTACGAAAATGTATGCATGCATACTCTTTATTCATACACGCTGCTCTTGTAGTGCAGCCTGCTCCATGGCGCATATACATATATATAATATGTATAAATATGTGCTATGGGGGACAAAACGGGAGTGTTCTTTGTTCAGCAGTGGACAGTCGACGCCCTATAACTCCTACCTACTAAGGTTTAACCATATCTATTTAATCTCTACAAATTATGTTCGACAAACTTTTACTTTTTGGGAAGATAATCTTACTAATTACTTTACTAATATTATAAATGCGACAGTTACGATGTTTGGATGTTTATAACTCAATCACGCCAAAACGGCTGGACGGATCTGGATAAAATTTGGTATAGGATACACTCCTGAATAGGACATAGGCTACTTTTTATGAACAGACCACGCGGGCGATGTCGCGGGCGGAAGCTAGTTCCAACTAATTAATTTACGTAAGTAAGCTACGAAAGAATTTAGAGTAGGTCAGTTACAATGTAAGTGTAAAAATGTGGAATAGTACTAATTTTATGTACAAACGCAACAAAAGCCATAAATAAACATTACATAGGTAAGTTCAGTGACGAGATTTACCGACCACTCACACTATTAGCTGTAAAGCATGAATGATTGTACGACGCCGTCATCGGTTCTCAGGTAGTAAATAGCGTTGAGTAAACGTTATGATACGGTTGGAACATATGGCTACCTATGTAGGCGGCCGCAGCGAGTGAGAAAGGGCGCCGCCTACGCTCTTTATCATATCCAGTCCGCCTCGTCTGAGATATTATGCCATGTTTCGTGTTCCTACCCAAACCTGTATACTTATATTTTGTTTGATACAAGATTGAGCCCTTTGGTTTCGCTTTCGATTTAAGATAAACTGTTACTATAAGAGAATGTTTAGGTACCAGCTAGCATTGTCAGTTGCCACACACAAACCGTCAGAGGCTAAATACGGCCATGTGTTCACCTTGTTGACTTGAGATGTTATGAGGTATGAACTCATAAATGCTTATCTTTCCGCATAACGCATTGATGTAGGAGTCAAATACACAATCTGGGTTGAGGCAGTTCCTGCACACTGGACCTATTTATAACAAACGGAACTTATTTCCAATACCTGCGTTTAGTTAACTATTTAATTACGGTACCTATTTTATCAAATAATTTCCTCATACATACATAAAATAACTACTAATTTTATGAATTTAAACGGCAACATTGAGATAATTTCGTTTTACAATCTCTATTTTACACGACTATCCTGTATTATTTGCATTAACATATTTATAACAGCAACTTACTGATAAGTCTCTTATCACTGGGGTTAAATCACATACTAAATCGGTAATGCACATTCACAGTTAAAAACTGTTTATTATGTTTTACACAAATTATAAATTGTTAGAGGTTCTTCATTTATGGTCCTTAAATTTATCTACTTAATAAAAAAATCGCTACACACAAATATATTATGATCTCATTTCACTTCACAATTACACTAGGTAATTAATTTTATCAGTCTCAAAAAAATTGCAATTATTTTCGTATTTATTGTGTTTTAGGTTTAGCACGGCACGACGTGCGCGCGCGCCGGATACACGCGTGACTAATTGTACAGAAAATAACTTCGTCAGCGAGTGATACAACAAGCGCCGTCACAGTTTCTTCTGGGAATCAATACTCAATACACTCATCAAAATATAATATTTATGCGACATGGCCGATCGACGCGACAAATTGTAATTATAATACTACAAACTTCAACTGTATCTGTATCAGAAATAGTTCCGTAAGGGCTGATTTCTCAATGGTTAGATAAAAGTTAGCTGGGGAATAATTATGAGAATAAATGTGATGCTGTCGCGTCAGAATTTTTATATAAGGCAGTGACAGCAACAATTTTATTCTTCAGATAACATTTATCTGATTGAATAATCAGCCCTTAGACAAATTATTCTAATTACCGTTTACCTACGTAGGTGACTATAAGCAGAAACGGCGTTTGAGTTTACTTAACGTAGCAGCGTTTTAACAGGATAATTAATGGTAAACTGGGTAAAACTGCTACATAAGTGTAGACGTTCACAAATTAGTGTCGTAAATAGTCGTAATAGCGTTTTAAGAAAGGCTGCAAGAGCAACACAATTAAAACTACATTGGACCATACTATTAAGCATCAATAAATAAATCAATGAAAATTCATAGAATTTGCCACTAGACCTTGAGCCACTTTATTTTTTCCAGTAAATAGCTGTACTCGTTTTGGAATACATAATAACTTACCCTGAGAAAAACATTTAATAAGATTTACCTGTTAATGAATCTAATGTTTTTTATAAGTAATTACGTCTTACTTTTATGCAACTTAAAAATTCACCTATAACCAATTTCTCCCAAGTTCTGAAAATTTCGGATAAGAATTTAAAAATAACCTTCAAGAATATAAGACAAACCGGTGCTTCTGTAGGTCGAGTCAATTACGTCATTAGCAACTCCGACCGACCAAGTAATGATTCAAGTTGTGATATCGTAAGCATTCATTCGCTTATTTAGTCACATTTGATGGTCAAACGAACATGCATAAATCATTAGTTAGACCCACTAATACTTAAGTAGAATACAATAAGTGAGCTATGAGCAGTATGAGTCCGACATGGCGAAATATTTTTAATAGCAATCAAAATATTAATTATTTTTTATATTTTGTGGGAGGCTGTGTTTAATGATATACTTTACCTGATTAATTTGTAAGCGTACAAAATGTATACAATATCACGCCATAGTTTCTTACTAGAATAAAATTATTTGTACTTGGAGACTTATTTGATGATGCGTTTTCTGCGAAAATGATTAGCCAGCTACGAACTATAACTGAACCATGCACCTACAAGGTTCCGTAAAGCCTTCAGCGGGTTTCCTTATATCGCCGATAACGGTTAAGGGGTGTACCAGACAGGTCAACGACCGTTCCTGCTTGCTTTGGCGGGCGCGGCGCCGTGTCGCCACTCTTACCCCACTACATGAACAGACATTCGGTAATTAACTGAAGTATTTTATGTTATAAATAGTTCTGGGTAATATACTGGCATTGATAAGATAAAAAAAAATTAAGACTAACTCCATGAATTAGAAAATAGAATATTAAAAAAAGTAAGTCAGAGAAATTAAGCAAAATGGTTTGTACTTGTACTTAATTGTAATTTACTTTAAAACTACTGTTAAGTAGTGTGTGTGTGTGTAGTGTGTGCTTATAATTTACTTTTATTTGCACTAAAATTATACATTTAATTTACATAAACTAAATCTACAATTTTATTATAGTTCAGAGTCTGGGTGTATTGTGTTACCCATTCAAAATTTATATGCTTGTGAAAACATCAACAAAATAATGAAGAAGACAAACAAAGAGAGCAACACAAAATTTTTAACAGGTATTTATACTAGCCGTTCCCACCTTTTTAAACCTTCACTGGATGTCAACGAACATTCTTAGACCAAAATTGACTCAAAACAGACCAGATGCTCTCGAATTTTACTGACACTAATGAACAGCAATTAATTTTTATATAAGAACATAATATAAGTGACCTGCACTGGCTTTGCATGAGTTCAATGGTGTTACTAAATTACTCCACTATTTAATTGACATTACTACACATATAAAACTTGCTTTTCTACCACTCTGTCTATTAGAAAAATGTTTCAAACTCCGCTGTATAGTTTTTAAGATTCTAGATTAAATGTTTAAAGCAGGGAAAGCAACTATGTTTTATTTATACTTGTAATTTCCCCATTACTCTGCTCCTATTGGTTCTTTCCTCAATAAATCAATTATATAAAACAAATATTTTTTTTCATTTAAACTAGTAGTTCCTGAGTTGTTTGTTATGTAGCATGTATTGTTTACGCAGTCAAAGAAACCAACAAAAAATGTAATTTTAGACTTAAAATTAATACTTGGTATTCAAATTAACATAATATTTAAGAGGGTTATAGATATTTTTGAGATTTAGAATGGGATTTGGCACTGTGCCCAGCTCAATATGCTAATCCATCCCCTGATTCATGAGAAACATAATGAAAGATAGATTACATACTATGTGCACCAATAATAAAGCAATGTTTGGTAAGAGTTATGTTTTGAAATTGGACAATTTGACTTCTTTTGTTCTCAATTAGGTTTATATGTTACATCTCAAGGATAATAAGTGCAACAGACAACTTATTAGGTAGAAAGTTATGTTTTTAATACAACTTAATTAACAAACTTTGATACATTTAATATAAACTAAAATAAAAATACTATTATAAAATACTAATATATAAATCAGCCTCAAGATCAAAGAATTCTCGGACTAATAGAGTTATTAAAATAATAAACAATAAAGGTATTAAAGCCAAAAACCAAAAAAACATTGTGATTCCAATACATTTGGATATGGTGGAAGTCTATATTGTGAAACTGTAGTACGATATTGTTAGACGATATTTTAAACATATTGAATGATATTAAATATCAATTTTATACACCAATTATAATCTATAATCTTTAAATATTTATATAAACAAAACAATGATTATGGTCATGTTTAAAATTAGAATCCATATTTGGCCCAGCGAACAATGATTATGTACTATCACTTCGAAAAAATAATTTAAAGATGTATTTGGTACCATCTTATATGAAATAATGTATTTTATTCAACAATGTTTATTGGCGATATAATAATTAGGTCGCTCGTGGGCTGACCACTTAGCTGAAGTTTACCGAATTTCAGATCCATCAGAAATTCATCATTTCTCACAAATTGAAATGAAAATGACACTTACCAGTGCTTTTCTTAATTATGTGCTATTTAAATCAGAATTATCACATCTTAATTCATTTTCTTTTGTAAAAGTAAATAAATCCACAATATCACACAACTCACATAAAAGTGTAGGAACGAATTGAATGAACTAAGATTATATTTCAGTCACAGATTACTCATCATTCATTCAAGTTACGAACTGAAAACATTCATTCAATATTTCGAACTTTACGATTTGAAACCTCATTTTAAAAGCCATGCTTATTCTCCATAATATAAAGCTGAACTCTAAAATGCAAAAGTTGGCTCTGATACCCAATTTTATTTTATTAAAGTCCTTATAAATCCAAATAATTAAGGTGAAATTGTTGAATTATTAACAGTTAACCTAAAACTTCAGAAGAAATTAAAACAAAACTAATTTTGCCTTAACATTACAGAAACTAGCACTATGTTTCGAACGTAATATGGTTGCAAATCGATTTTGTGTTATTATGTTGGCTGTATGTCGATCGTTTAGCCAATGAAACACTTCTGGCCTTTCTTCGTCGAAGAATATGGCCGACATTTTGATATTGCTGTCATGAAGATTTTTCAGTGACAAAATTGTAACTTTGTAGTTCTTCATGCACGGTTTTATGTTCCCAAATTGTTTTATTTTTTAATTGCTTAGACGAAGTGTAGTGTAAGCTATTTTATTTTTTGAAAATGGCAGCTGATCGCGAGATTGCTGCTGAAGACAGCATCAGAGTGGTTTGCCGATTTCGGCCACTGAATGACTCTGAAGAAAAAGCTGGATCAAAATTTATTGTGAAATTCCCGTCAGGACCCGATGACAACTGCATTTCCATAGGGGTAAGTACAATTATTTTCCATGTTTAACATTGCTTTCCCCTATCATCGCCCTAAATTAGATCATGATGACTAATACATTACGAGTTGTTCACCTGCTACGAAATGGCCTTTCTTTTTCATTCCGCTTCGATGGTTATGATTATGATCGAGTAAATTTAAAGAATCTTGCCGAATAATCTCTGCATAAGTACCAACGTCTTTGTTTTGTCGAAAATCAATACAAATATCTCCTCGACCTTGACCTGAGTTGGTATACCACGAATTATGTGTAATGATATTTTGTTTTTTGTTCTTGTAATGTTGTTTTTGCAAGCAATTTGTAAATAATGTAAAATCAAGCTTACCCTCTTTTTAATTTCCGTCAGGAACTATTTTGGCCAATACTGGTTTTTATTGAATTTGCTAATAAAGTCAAACAATTGTGTACAATACTGTCTTAAAAGTATCTGATTGGAAAATAAAACCTTTATGAAAATATACATATATTTTTAATTAGGAATTTATTGTTGTGATAATATCCAGCTTAGGTATATCAAGATTTCTAAATGCAGTTGGTCTTACTGACCCTATAATTATCTATTATATAAGTGTAGATCATACACTGATACAAAATTATGTGCTGAATTACAGGCTAGAATGCACTGCAGTAATAAATGTAACCAATTCCTAAAATTTTAATCATTTAAAAATTTAAAATTAAAAAACAGACATTCAATATGTTTGTTTTTTTACTAAACCTAATTAGATTTTGATCCTTATAAGAAAATGTACAAGTAATTATTTGAGGGTACCCAATATTAAAGATATATCACCCAATATTAAGGATAATTCTTATCTGCAATTGCCAATTTTCTGGTACCAGTAAGAAACAGGGACTGTTCATTAATTGAAGCCACTAAATTTATTTTAAGGTTTTCATAATAATCACAAAAATCACATAATAATCTAAAAATCACACTAACTAAACACAATGTTGCCTCAAAATTTACAACATATAGTTTATTGCCTGTCTAGGTGATGATGTCAGATACTTGTGTTGACCTGATTCATCTTGTGTGAGTATAGTCTATCCAAAGCTTGTTTTTGGTTAAGACTTCACAGGAAATATTTGCAAATGAGGTTTCTATAAATAGATTGTTGAAATGTGTCTAACAGCACCAATACATTGAACTCTGTAGTTACATCCAATAATAGAAAATTAGTTTAAAAACCTATCAACTGATTTTTTACTTTAACAATATGATAATTATAATATATTATATTTTGTGTATTAATCTGATTTAATTATGTGTTATTGTTTTAAAGACATTAGAAAACCAACTTGTGTTAAATATCTGAAGTAAGCCAAATAAATAAATTTGAGGCCAGATTAACATTTTGGTCATTTTGTACTATTTTCTTAATATTGCCTTTGTCCTTCATATCGTGTAATGAACATACTTTTACTAACAAAACCGTGTATACATTTTATATTCAAAGCAAAGCACATAATGCATGCTGTTCATAAAATATGTGTAACAAGCTAAGAATGTTTTTGAACATTCTAAGATCATTTGTATTATACATAAAATTCTTAGAAGTGACTAACTCTTAAACAAAAAGAATTAATTAATCATTTTAGATAAATAGGTGATGGTATTAATTAAATATTATTTACAGTTGGATGTTCAATAATGATTATCTACTCTTCTACATTTTTATTTTTTAATAATTTTATCTATGATCTTATTCATTACATATTTTATGATCTGCCGTAATGTGCATAATTTGTCAAAAATAACAACAAGTCTATACCTATAAGTAATAAATATTCTTACTATGTTTCGCATTGTACACAAGAGTTATTTAGAATGAAACTTTCATAATACATGAGCAAATTGCATATTCTATTACTTGTTTTAATTCCATCACAGGCTTGTTTCTAAATATATTTTATTTATTTTAAAATTTATATTTTAGGGTAAAGTGTACTTGTTTGACAAAGTATTCAAGCCAAATGCAACCCAAGAGAAGGTCTACAATGAAGCTGCCAAGAGCATTGTATCTGATGTGTTGGCAGGCTATAACGGCACTATATTTGCATATGGACAGACCAGTTCAGGAAAAACACATACTATGGAAGGTGTCATAGGTAGGTGTATAATAGGATCAGGATTGATATGTGATGTACATTTTTTGTTATTTTAAACACTTAATATTGTTTCTGTTTAATAGGGGATCCAGGGAAACAGGGTATTATTCCAAGGATAGTGAATGATATATTCAACCACATTTATGCTATGGAAGAAAACTTGGAATTTCACATTAAAGTGTCATACTTTGAAATTTACATGGACAAGATCAGAGATTTGTTAGATGGTGAGTAAAAAACTAGAGCTTATGTTATTATCACACATTTAAATGTGATAGTAATTATTAAAAAATATTTTATTGCCATTTCAGTTTCTAAAGTGAATCTTAGCGTTCATGAAGACAAAAACAGAGTTCCATTTGTCAAAGGTGCTACAGAAAGATTTGTGTCAAGTCCTGAGGAAGTGTTTGAAGTTATTGAGGAGGGTAAATCAAATCGACACATTGCAGTCACAAGTGAGTATAGAGAGTAGTGAAATGACTTTTAATAACTAATTATAACAGTGTTCAAATATTAAGAAACATTTTTTTACTTCAGATATGAATGAACATTCATCTAGATCTCATTCTGTCTTCCTCATTAATGTTAAACAAGAGAACCTAGAAAATCAAAAGAAACTTTCGGGAAAGTTATATCTGGTGGACTTGGCTGGTTCTGAAAAGGTAATTCTTGCTAACATAAGCCAAAATTATGTTTATAAATCCAACACTCAGTAGATAATCCATATTTTTTACATTTCCAAAAAAAAAATTGTTTTATGTTTATGGTTATATTTCAATTATTTACATGTTTTTATCACAAATAATATTTTAGGTATCTAAAACTGGTGCTGAAGGAACAGTCCTTGATGAAGCTAAAAACATTAACAAGTCATTATCAGCGTTGGGTAACGTCATTTCTGCGTTAGCCGACGGCAACAAATCACACATACCATACAGAGACTCGAAACTGACTCGTATCTTACAAGAGTCACTTGGTGGTAACGCTAGGACTACAATCGTCATCTGTTGTTCCCCTGCTTCTTTCAACGAGAGTGAGACCAAAAGTACTCTTGACTTTGGTAAAAGGTTCGTACTTTTGTATTGTGACACTAAAACATGTATTTTACTTAGCAATATTTCTGGAATATTCTGAGTGACGTGATTAATGTTTTACAGAGCCAAAACTGTCAAGAATGTTGTCTGTGTTAATGAGGAGCTCACTGCTGAGGAATGGAAACGTCGTTACGAGAGAGAAAAGGAGAAGGTGGCTAGGTTAAAGGGCAAAGTTAGTAGGAATTTATGAATATATAGTTGTATTAAAGAATCGTTTATTTATTTATTCTGATTGTTATATTTATTAAAATTTTAGGTTGAAAAGCTGGAGGCGGAGTTAAACCGCTGGCGCTCAGGCGAGACAGTACGCATCGAGGAACAAGTTAACCTGCAGGAAATTGAGGCAGTTACTCCTGTTACATCATTCATTGAAGAGAAACCACCTGCGGCGGTAAGTGATGATTCATTATTTGAAGGATTCTCATTTTAGATATTGTTGGAATCTATGTGATACAGATGAATGGTTTGAATAACATCTATTGTGATGTCATATTCATTCTCTGAGAATTGTGCACTATCAATGGTTTATGTAATACCTAATAAGAGTTATTCATAAGTTCAGAATATGTAAACATCAGCATATAGTATTAACAACATAGTTTGCTATTTCTATATACTTAAAAAAACTTTGTGGGCAATTCACTGGTGAATGAATATTTTTACTCACCAACTGCTTATTTATTTATTTATGTGTGTGTAGCCATTTAGTAAAATGTAAGTTGATGGTTGATTTATTTTTATAGCCTGTACCCGTCGCCGTGTCCAGTGCAGTCGAAGATGCTGCTATGCAAGGCAAACTCGAAGCCCTTTATCAACAACTGGACGACAAAGATGAGGAGATCAACCAACACTCACAGCTGGTGGAGAAACTCAAAGAACAGATGATGGAGCAGGAGGAGCTCATTGCTTGCACAAGGTAACTTCGTTTCCGTTCACGGGATCACAGGATCCCGGACCTTTGGAAGGCGTACGAGGGGCCGAAGCCAACTCGCAAAGGCCCGTTGAACAATTTTAATATAAGTGAAATGGGACATCAACTGGCAATTATGCGCCTGTATGCACTACGAAAGAGCACGCAAAGATAATCACCGGTTTATGTAGGACTATTACGAAATGTGGTAATAATTCA